CGCCATCATGGCCTTCCTGCCGGACGAGGCGCGCGGGCTGCCGCCGCCGCCGCTGCTCAACCGGGGCTCGGCCTGGCTCGGCTTCAGCGGCTGGTTCGCGGCCCTGCTCGACAACAGCTTCAACCGGCGGCCCGTGCTGCGCTCCGGTGCGGTGGGGGGCGGTGTGAGGGGCCTGGGGGGTGCTGAGGGTTGAGGGCTCCCATGTGAGGGGGTCTGGGGGATCTGAGGAGGCGTTGAAAGTTGAGGGGATCTTGGGGGGGGGGTGTTGAGGGTTGGGGGCTCTGATGTGAGGGGGGCTGGGGGTTGGGAGGTGCTGAGGGTTGAGGCGATATGGGGGCGTTGGGGGTTTGAGGTGAGGGGATCTGAGGGGTTGGGGAGTGTTTGAGAGATGGGGGCTCTGAGATGAGGGAATCTGGAGGGGATGAGGGTTGAGGGCCCCGGTGTGAGGAGGTCTGAGGGGTTGGGGGGTGTCTGAGGGTTGGAGGCCCCGATGTGAGGGGGTCTGAGGGGTTGGGGGGTGTCTGAGGGTTGAGGCCCCTGATGTGAGGGGCTCTGAGGAGTTGAGGAGTGTTTGAGGGTTGGGGGCCCCGATGTGAGGGGGTCTGAGGGGTTGGGGGGTGTTTGAGGGTTGGGGGCCCCGTTGTGAGAGGGTCTGAGGGGTTGGGGGGTGTTTGAGGCTTGGGGGCTCTGAGGTGATAGGGTGTGGGGGGTTGAGGGTTCCTGAGGATTGAGGTGAGGGGATATGGGGAGTTTGGGGGGTGTTTGGAGGTTGGAGGGATTGAGATGAGGGGATATGGGGGGTCTGGGGAGTGTTTAAGGATGGAGGTGAGAGGATATGGGGAGTTTGGGGGTGTTGGAGGATTGGGTGTTAGAGGTGATGGGATCTGGGGGTTTGGGAGGTGTTTGAGGATTGAGATGAGAGGATCTGGGGGGCATTGGGGGGTGTTTGAGAGTTGGGGGACTTCAGGCGAAGGGATCTAAGGGAGGTTGAGCGGGGTTGGGGATTGGGGAATTGAGGTGAGGGGATATGGGTGGGGCTTGAGGGTTGGGAATTTGAGATGTGGGGATGGGGGAGTTTGGGATTGGAGGGGAGGGGATCTAGGGGATGTTGGGGGGTGTTTGAGGGTTGGGGGGTTGAGGTT